TTCCACAATCCATTAAAATGAGCTTTTACTATAGTTGTCTGTGCAGTACAATTTATCCAAGAAAATACAGGGTCTTCCAAAAAGAATGCTACCATTTTATATTATTGTAATTATGTTAAACATTATCAGGGAATGTTGTAATGTACATTAAAACAGGGAATGTTTTAATGTACATTACAACAGTTCCAAGTTTGATATTTCCCCATTACAATTTCCTAATATGTGCACCTCATGTTGTATGGCATACATCTGACTGATACATAATTCTTCCTACACCTACAGGGTGTTTCACAGCTCTTTCTGAACTGCACAGTTTTCAGCCTCAATTTTTTGTAGGTGGCACTTTGAGCAAAAAGGAATTGCTTCTATCACAAAAGCACATTGCTTCAAAACATTTGATTTTTCCATAAGTGGCCTTATCTGGCCACCTTACAGCCCTGATTTGAGTCCACTAGACTTCTTTCTTTGGGGATACACAAAGGATCAGATGTTCAAGAATACCCTACCACCCTCAGTCAGATGAGAGAAAGCATTGAGAACATCATGAAGAGCATCTCAGATCAGACCTGTAGCAATGTGATTGCTAATTTCCAAGAGAGACTGTGCTACTGCATCTCGACAGAGGGCAGACATTCTGAAAATATCTTGCATTAATTTCCTTTTTCATCTTCTATCTTTGCTGAAAATTTCATTAAAAAATTCAAATTTTCAAAAAAGTTATTCAAAAAAAATTTTGTGGAGAGACTGTGAAACACTCTGTACTACAGCATACCTATTGTCACTCCTCCACAATTCTACAGTTTCTGCAGATTACTTGCATTGTGCAATGACAAGTGATTTCAACTTTGCAAACTGTAGAACACAAAACATCTCTGTTGCAGAATTGCTATTTTTATTTATGGCACTTCCTAGGGGTAGACAATGAGACATTTGAATGTGGATGAAAGATGAAACTCAGATGGTTACTCAGTTAACTGGCGTATGTTGCATACTTCTCGATAATAATTAACATAATTATAGCAATTTAAAATGATAGCATTTATTTTGGAAGACCCTGTATTTTCTAGATGACATTAGGGTATTTGTTGACTTCTTGATACCATTCCAGACTGAGAAAGAATTCTGAGTTATTCTAAATATTACTCAGAAAAAATTCACTTGATGATAAATGATATTACATGATATTACTAGATTGTATAATCGCATTTGTTTTAGTTTTATTAATTGCATCTATTTAATAAATGCTAATTTATTTTTTACATTAAGAGGATGCTTCGCTAGTACAGTGGAACCCTGTTTATCTGGCTCAACTGGGAGTGAATGTGATCTGGATGACTGAAAATCCAGATAATCCTCAAAATTCATTCATTTATATTCACTTTATGCCCAAAGCTATTATCGTTTTCCCAAGTTTTGGTCACCTTCAATTTTTTATGAAGTAAGCACATTGAAAATGACATCTAAAAGAGATCAAGTGGTGGTTACAATGGAGAATAAATTAGAAATATAAAATAAATTGTATATAAACTGTGTTATTCACACATGTTAACTCTCAAGGTTTCAAATGATAAAGTTACTGACATGTTGAATGCCATGAGAATCACAACATTTTTATTCAACTGGAAAGTAGCAATTTTTTCTAAATACAAATCTTAAAAGATTAGAAAATATTCAACAAGTAAACTCGAAGAACACTCTCACAGACTTTATAACAATGAATCTCATATACTGATTCAATCTATTCTTACAAGCTGCAATGTTACACTTAGGCAAGAATGTACTTGGGAGTTTTTTGATTTTTTTCGCATTTACAGGTTTTCTGCTTGTTTATCTTTTTTACTTCTGAGACATGGATTATACACTACTGGCCATTAAAATTGCTACACCAGAAGGCGGCACACTACACACATGAAATTTGCATGACAGATAGAACATGCTATGATATGCAAATGATTAGATTTTCAATGCATTCATGCAAGGCAGGTGACAGTAGTGACACCTACAATGTGTATAAAAGAACAGATTTTACAGTATGTTTCTCATACAGAAATTGCATTTGAATGCTGTTTTTAGGTAAGAACGTTGTTGTTATGCCTCATGTAAGGAGGAGAAATGCCTACCAGCACATGTCTGACTTTTGAGGTTGAATTGTAGCCTACCAGGATTGTAGTTTATTATACCACAGTATTGCTGCTCGTGTTGGTCACGGTCCCATGACTGTCAGCAGAATATGGAAACAATGGGTTCAGGACAGTCATACAAAACACCGTGCAGGATCTCAGCAACCCCCCCATCACTAACAGTTGAAAAGACAGACATCTACATTGCTTTAACGGATCGTACAGCCATATCACAAACCCTTAGTCAAGAAATGAGGTCATTTGCAAGACGACAAGTGTCTGCACGAACAGTTCAACGATGTTTGCAGCAGCATGGACTGTCAGCATGGCGATCATGGTTTTGGCTACCCTCGACACTGCATCACAGGCAGGAGCACCTCCAATAGTGTGATCAATGACGAACCTGGATGCAGGAATGGCGTCATGTCATCTTTCAGACAAATCCCAGTTCTGTTTAGAGCACCATGATGGCCGCATCTGTGTTTGGCAGCATTGNTGTTGTTCCACAATCCATTAAAATGAGCTTTTACTGTAGTTGTCTGGGCAGTACAATTTATCCAAGAAAATACAGGGTCTTCCAAAAAGAATGCTACCATTTTATATTATTGTAATTATGTTAAACATTATCAGGGAATGTTGTAATGTACATTAAAACATTGGAAAACTGTTCCAAGTTTGATCAAGAATTATATGCGAATGATATGATATGATATGATATGTGAATGATTAGATTTTCAATGCATTCATGCAAGGCAGGCGGCAGTAGTGACACCTACAATGTGTATAAAAGAAGAGATTTTACAGCATGTTTCTCATACAGAAATTGCATTTGAACGCTGTTTTCAGGTAAGAACGTTGTTATGCCTCATGTAAGGAGGAGAAATGCCTACCAGCACATGTCTGACTTTCATCGAGGTTGAATTGTAGCCTACTGGGATTGTGGTTTATTGTACCACAGTATTGCTGCTCATGTTGGTCACGATCCCATGACTGTCAGCAGAATATGGAATCAATGGGTTCAGGACAGTCATACAAAACACCGTGCAGGATCTCAGCAACCCCCCCATCACTAACAGTTGAAAAGACAGACATATTATCCACATTGCCTTAACGGATCGTACAGCCACATCACAAACCCTTAGTCAAGAAATGGGGTCATTTGCAAGACAAGTGTCTGCACGAACGGTGTTTGCAGCAGCATGGACTGCCAGCATGGCGATTATGGTTTAGGCTACCCTCGACACTGCATCACAGGCTGGAGCACTTCCAATGGTGTGATCAATGACAAACCTGGATGCAGGAATGGCGTCATGTCATCTTTCAGACAAATCCCAGTTCTGTTTAGAGCACCATGATGGCCGCATCTGTGTTTGGCAGCATTGTNCTCAAGCAAACAATACATACAAGTACAGTACACTATTTTCTGAGGAAACACACATACTTATCCTTTTTTTAACCCCATTCCCGATAACCCGGCATTTTCACAAACTCGGCCACCCTTCGGTTCACATTAGGCCGAGTTTTCGAGGCTCTACTGTATTATCTATAATTAATGTGTCAAAAATCCCTATTATGGTCTGTAGAGCATACACAGGATGTCCCACAAGTCTCGTACCATAGGAGTTAATGTTAATCTTTGTTTATTTTTTTATGAATCACTGTATGTGAGTGGTGGTAAGTCTAGACATAGTCTGTAAAACTCTTCTGTGACTTCACACTGACTGTGAATCCCCGCTATCAAAATGACTTGAATTTATTTCTCCTCAGTGCAATGGTTTACTGGTGAAAGAATAAACAAAGACTGGAATAACTTATATATCGTTCCAGATTGGGACAGCTATATACAGTAGAATCTCTGTAGTCTGTCACTTGCCAATCTGACACTCCACTGCAGGTCAGTACATGTGAAATTTTGTGTTACTACTTGATGTAACAGATAGAGACTGATGTACATTTATACTGTCAGTCACTAGTTGATTGTCACATAAATTGTGACTGTTTTGTTGTATGTCAACAAAACAGTCACAATTGTGATTAATATGATAAATTCACCTGTGAACCAAGTGCATTTTTTACTGTACAGTACATATGTATTTACAAAATTCAATACTCTAATTGCCACAGCCTATAAACACCCACTGTGGTTCCCATTATGGCTATACAGGTACCACAGTGGATGTTTATAGGCTGTGGCAATTACGAACCGAGTCATCCCCAGTCATTGTTATGAGTAACTACTATACTTATATCTAAATTAAATATGTCTGGAAACAAAGGATCGGATGAAGGTCTGGGTAGAATAAGTGGCATTGCATCCACACAGTAAGTGGCAGTAGCAAGTTAAAGGTCCACTTTGGGCCAATCCTTTTCTTCCAGAATTTTTTACAAATATAAATATTAATTTAATTATAATTATTAAATTTAATAAGAGATGGAACCTAATGCCTACCTCTGGTGTCAAATTACTTGGTATTTAATAATAATTTGTAGAGGTATTGTAGCCCAATTCAATCCAGTAATTGTTTCGCTTTAATATAATTATCGGGCTTTGAGATATTTATATATCAGGCCTTATAAATTGTGATCACATTGTGTATTTTTTTTAATTTTGTTTAATGTTCTAACAGTTATTACTGACTTTTACTTTTTTTACTGACAGTTGTAGATCAATTTTAAAAGTAATATTTATTATTTATGGGAAGAATTGTTATAAAATGCAACACAGAGGAGAGCTGTGCAAAATGCTAGGGGATCAAACTAAGTCTTGAATATACAAATTCTCTTATAACTTAACTTTTTTGATATATTTAATATGTGCACATTTTTCTTAAACTTAAATTTATTATTTAAAATAATAATAATTTTTTTCTTACTTTAAAGGAGAAACTTCCTTTGCAAGATCATCGCATAAAAGATTACAATTATGATGTCGAAATATTTGATGATGACGATTTTTATCATCACTTATTAAGAGAAATAATAGAGAGGAAAACTGTTGATATTAATGATCCCATAGCATTAAGCAGGTAATGTTTTAAAGAAACTTATTAGAATAGTTGTTAATAATTCTCTGATACGTTTATATTATTTTTTTTTTTTTTGGTATTAATTAAGATACGGATTGGCCAGATGGCTGTGTAGTAAAGTTGGCCTGTTGACACGAAGGATCTGGATTCAAATTTAAGCCATACTTTCACAGTCTCTTCTGGACAAATCAGATTTTCCGATTCTTTCCTTTATCCATTATGGCTGACCCTGCTGTGTAATATACATAAACATAATAAGCAAACCGAGGCCGGTTTTATAGCTTACAATATGCTAATGCATTAGCATTCTGTAGGCAGATGCTACTCAAACTGTGATCTGTGGACTAGTACTGGTCCATTAAAATTTTATTACCGGGCTGTAATGAGATTTCACTTAAAATTTCAAAATTTTAAGTTACAAAGTCTTTTAAAAACATATTTCATAACTTTTATTTTATTTTATTATTTAAACATTTAATGCCAAATGTAGACTGGCAGACCAGGTACCTATTTTTCCAAAATGACTAAAACTAAATTTTGTTACTATGTGAATTTTATAGTTCCTTCTTGCCATATATTGAACTTTGTCAAGTATGTTTTATAATTATTTGTATTTAAATTCACAAAAGTACTTGTTTGTGAGGGATTGAAATGAATAACAAGCTGATTGATGAACTCAAAGTTTTAGAAACACTGCTACGGGCTATAAAATTGGTCTCAGTTTTGCCTTGCTAATGCAAGGCATCAAACCAAATCAGTTTGTCTGATAGTCATGATGATAATTAGCATTTTATATTTCTAGATTATTTTCCTCGTGATATCATTTTCATTTGGAATTTATCTTTTATGCAAGAGATTAAAGTTTGTGATGTTAACTGTATTAAAAATACAGTATTGGACCCAAATATCTGGCAAAATTGGGGCTGAAATAGTCCAGATTTTTGAATTTTCTGGTTTTCTGGACATGGGCTAAATATGTACTTAAAATATAAAATAAACAAAATGGAAGAATGAAATTATATATAACAGATACAATTGAATATACTTCTAAAGTAAGGTCTGTTTGATCATTATTAATTCTTTCAAACTATAGAAATGTGACTGTTACGTTGTCAGTGCCCGAGTCAGGACTGACACTCCTGTGACTGTTACGTTCGTATGTAAGTCTTAGATGAGTGGTTGTATATGAGAACGGTCAGATTTTGGATGGAGGAAGGAGTTGAGAGAAAGCATGCCAGAAATAATGCATTCCACTATGCATTTAAATGTTAAATAACAGCAATTTATTTGATTAAGTTAGAACTATTTTACAGGTGCATAGAAATAGGAAGAGTCTATTCCTACTAGCGTACTGAACCGAGAGAGATCGTTTACAATTTCAAATGCATGTCAATAAATACCTAGATGGTAAATTGTGGTGAGGCGTAGTCTGGGTCAAGAAGGGTCTTGTGTCATCAGGAATGTTCCTGTATCTTTTCATCAAAAGGGAGCAATGAAAGTCTGATGGAAAAGTTTGATGGGAATCAAGAACAGCAATGAGGTCAACACACAATTTTTTGCAGGTGAACTCTTTGTTGTCATCTGTTCCCTTGCTTTTTATTCGGGGTCCTCCCTCTGCCATTCTAATGCCCATTTCTGATAAAGTTGACAGTTGCTCCAATCTGCAATTTCTCCATTTTCCTTGATGAGTAGTTTTTTGGAAGCTGTGTTACTCCCAAAGGAAGTGCTATCCATGGGAAAATTTTATAAAGTTCCTTGACTGTATTTGTGAAATGGAATACTTTCCCCCTTTGTGGTTTTTGACAAAAAAAATTATAAGATTAAATTGGGTTCTCACTAATTAAATAATTTACATTAACCTTGGTTCTCACAGAATATCATGTATAGTATAATATTTAGCAAATTAAATAAAGAAAAGTAAAGAATATAATTTTATTAAGTACAGGAGGACCACTGCATGCAACAGCAGACATACTGGAAGTGGTGTCGTGCAATGTGTATGTCACAGAAACCAAAACACAGCAGCCATGCAGCAAACTACAGCTGTACTAGCATGGCCTATATTTTACTACTGGCCCATGTACAGTGTCAGTAGATGATGGGAAAAAAAAATGTGGAAGCAGAACTGGTTCTTCCCATCAGAGGTCATACTTTGGCACACTATTGAAGTCTCATGTTTTTCTACCTGAAAAGTGATGTAAATGTATAATATTTAAGAAGATATAACTTATATATAATTTATAAAATTTGGATTAATGTTAAATTATGCACTAATTCATATAAATATGCAAGAATTACATTGTTTTTTGCTTTAAGTTGTGAAAAGGATAAATAAATAATCATAACTGAATACAAAGAGTGATGTAAACATACGATCAAGAAGATATAAGTAATACATACTAAGTTTAGATTAACATCAGTAAAATATCTACCTATAAAAATTTTTAAATATTATCCAATTTCAGTATAATTTTACTGTATTTTACATGCAAAATAATCAATCCTCTTTATTAATAGTTAATTATATAATATTTATAATAATTTATTAGTATTATGTGAAAATAAGTAAATAAAACATCCAAAACTGTTGCATGAACTATTATGATGCTTGATCTTTCCCTGATATTTAATTAAAAAGTGGAACTCAACAATAACCCATTTTAATAAGATAAAAATAAGTATAGATGTAAAAGTCACTATACTCTGTAGAAAAACATGTAATACACACAATGGTTGCACCAAACTACTTTCTCTAAAGGCAGCTTCAAGAAAGTCAATAGTATCAGGTTTTAAGCAAGCACTCGTCCACCAAATAGTATAATGTAGACCACCATACTACAGCCCACCAAATTCAAAAATATCCAGTTTTCTGGTAATTGCAGATTTCTAGAAGCCGGATATTTGCTCCAATACTATAATAGGATTAATTGCTGAATTTTATCAGTTTTCTACTTTTACTTTATAGCCTTGTTTTATTTTCTTTAATTGAAAAATTATATCAAGTTTTATTTAAGAAGAAATACATCAAATTATTATTAACTAATAAATGTAATCTGTATCTTAATTTTATGTATGAATGAATCATATCAAACAGTTGAATTAATTACAAACTAATTTATAATGTTCAGGTTACAAGGATTATGAATTTCAGTGTCAGTTTCGATCATTCTTTTCTTTCAGATTTTTCCAAATTTGAGTTAATTTTTCCTTCTAGCTATTTTAAAATTTAATAAAAAATTAATTTAATAAATTCTCTACCTTTACCTTCGTCAATACAAAACTATATAACAATTATTTAAAAACTGTAAGGCAGAAAATTAGAATCAAAATAGTGACACATTCAGGATATTTAGAACATGGATGCTGCTCAAAGCAGATTTGGAGGGAATCAAGGCATGTGACCACTGTCATTTTTTTTTTTTTTCAGAGAATGCTATTCAGTTACCTTATAATTACTTTAGTTACTTAATCTGACCTACATGAAGTCATGCAATATCCATTATTATATTTATTTTTATTTTAAAGTAACAAAACTGATTGTTTTGGTGCTGAATGTTTGCAATGCCATAAGCTTCTCCCCTTGATATGCTTCTGAATCAAAGTTAGCAACCTACCATTATGTGGCTTCTGAGTTTGAGTCCAAGCCAGAGTGTTAAAACTTTCATTGATAGTTTAACACTGATAATTTGATATGTCTAATTAATCTTTATTGTAAACTTGGATGAATCCATGATGAACACAAGGTCATTTTAGTTCTTTTAAGTCACTCAGGATGGAAATAAATTATACTATAGCCTGTGCTATAAGAAGAGTAGCTAATAATAATTGTGTACTTTGGTTTTGTTATTAGATTACTTAAAAACACAGTATAAATGTTTGAAATTTTAATGCAATGTTTATTTCTATTTGTAGAAAATCTTTAATTTGTTCAGAATTTATTACAGTAAATTTCTGAAGTAGAAATTATATTTTTTCTATTACATTTATTATATTATATTATAATATAGGTATTTAAAAGTAAATTGAATTTGAAATATTTCTTTCTATCAAAGGCAATGGTTAGAGATACAAAAACTCAGAAGTAAAATGAAAAAAAAAGTAGACACGAAAGCCAGCAAAGGACGGAAAATCAGGTTTGTATTCTCTATTTGTATTAAGTAAAGAATTTTGACAATTTATTATGCTTTTAATTTAACTTTAATAATAATTAGTTATAAATGAACTTAATTAATTGTAATATTTTTAACTATTCAATACATTTAAGTAAAAAATTACTCTTTAATCTTTATTGAAAATTATTCAATAAAGATTCATTAAGCCAAATCTCCACTGTGGACTGTTTGTCATTAATATCCTATTAGTTAAATTGTTAAAATATATTGAAACTTTATTTATCTTGTAATTGAAAGATTATCAGCCCTCATTCAACATACAGATTTTTCATCAGATTTCTGAAGTTAAGGAGCTTGGTATCAGACAGTTCACTTGTATTGGATGGCATGGAATAAAGGATGTTCTTTATCTCCAGCAAGAACTTGGTAACTCTGACTGTTTGCAAGTATATATAGAGTGACAAGAAGGGTATCCAACTTTAAAATATATACCAAATGTGACTTCTCCTTATGTATAAAACAGATATTAGTGATCCCATGTTACATAGAAGTAACAGGTTGAAGAACAAGTATAGAAGTTTAAAAACTATAATTACAAAAGAATTTTGTTTTAATGGATCGCTCAGGTCACCAAAAATCATCCATTATTACGCGAATTTATTATATTGTGAATAATGAATTTCCCACACACACAGGAAAATATCCATTATTCAAAAATTTTTTCATTGTTTAATTCCTATATATAAGAAATACTGGTATTTGAAATTATTCAGTCTCTCAAGATATCTATTTTCAATCCTATAGAAACACATGTTTGTAACGTATGTGTATATTATGCCATATGACAAAGCTGACAAAAACTGTACATTCTGTAAGTATAAAAAGAGGCAAATTATATATGCTCATTAGCACTTTGTTTGACTTCACAACTTGTAAAATACTCGTCTATCTTGGTTTTTTTTAATGCCACTTTTCTGTCTATTGAATACATGCTGTTTGATATTAGCAATTTCATGTACTGTACATTTATGC